TGCACCGTTTCGAGATGCAATTGGGGGGTTCAAGCCGCACGATGATACATGTATAGTCATGAATGTACACAAATAGTGTCGTAGCACACACTTAGGTATTCCGAAGGGGATTATGACGGGTTTTAACCAGACTATATTTGAGAGAGTTGATTACACGGTCACACACGTGTTTGGGTATTGTTGATGAGCTCAGTTCAGTACTACGTGGGGTAGTGTGTTGATATTCTATTCGTACAGGCCATTGAGTCGGGTTCAGGATGCTTAATCTAGCAGTCCGTCCGCACTAGGGTGCGATGAGCCTTGTGAGCCGTATTTTTAGGATACCTATATGGTAGGTCGTCCCGCACTCATGTTACGCACTGAGAAGCGATGAGACTAATGAGCCATGTACAATGTTTAGGATACCGACCGGATAGTCCGTCCCGCATGATAATACGATGAATCAGAATCTTGCAAGGATTTGTATTGAGACGATTATTGATAACCTGAGTCTTTGGCGGATGTCAGTTATGTATATGACTCATTGGTGAGATATATGACCGAGGTACTTTGCCCTTAAAAGTACGCGAGATTATATGCTGATATTTATCTTATCTTCCCAGTGATAGTGAAATATATTATAAATATAATATTATGAATGTCTTTACTTTATGTATTGCTTTATTTTATTCTTAAGTTGGGATCAATGATTAGCGATTCACAATTTGAGACATATGGTATATACATGAGGATTTTTTTTTTTTGATTATTTCGCTCGACGTACTAGTCTCGTGTTGTGGGTTTCTAATTATTGATTTCATTTAGATTGTTTCTCTAATTCGGTGTTAATATTTAGGTATTTATAATTTGAGACATATGATATATACATGAGGGTTTTTTTGTTTGGATTATTTCGCTCGACATACTACGTCTCGTATTATAGGTGTCTAAATATTAATTCTATTAGATACGGGAAAAATGATCTAGATAGACTATGCTTAATAGATAGAACTTTCACTTCATATAGCAGCCCTTCCCCTGGGGGCGGATGGAGGTGATCTTGCTGTAGCGCTTTGACGCTCTTGTTGTTCTTTTTATTTTAATTTCTTTTCAGGCAACTTAGAGTTTCGGAGAGCCGCAGGATGACGGAGTTCTTGCATAGTCACTGTCACATGATTTATTAGTAAAGACTCTACTGTAGACTTATTTTCACTATTCAGATATTAGAGTTTTGTACTCATATTATAAAGGCAGTTTGCCTTAGTTTATTATCAATTGACTCTTCTTGAGATACTTTTCATTTATTTTCGGATATCAGATGTATTTCAGATTGTTCACTTGAGACATGATTTTATTTATGAGATATATCTTTTTACATCATGTCTATAGTATTTATTTCTCTTATTTTATCTGTTTTGTACATGCACTTATATTTGATTTCACTAGAGGATATTACTGTGATTGGTGAAACGTGTTTATGCACAGTGTGGGTGCATGACAGGTTTGATATCTCTGGGTTCACCTTGGACTGCAGCCATGTATGAAACCAGGGACGTCACACTTGACTCTGCAAAGTGTTTATGCAAAGAAGATGAAGCCAAGACTCATCTTCTCTAATGAAGAATAGAGGAAAAGCAAACATTTTACGACTGCAAGGGGTAGAAAAGTAGAGGCTATTGTGCTATGTGAGTTAGTGGCACTCTGTGAACAGGTTATTGAAAGTCTATTCTCCCTTTTTTCACATGTTGAGCATGGCTGGTAGCGACTACAGACCCTCAATGGGATTTGCTGTGGGGATGCTTCAAGGCACGAAGGAGATTATGCATACTTTGAAGAATAAGGAGAGCTAGTACAAGTCGGTGATTTACATTATACATTCCAAGTTCAAGGATAGATTGTATACACCCTTGCATATGGTAACTTATGTCCTTAAACTTTACCACTTCTTCCCAAATGATGTAGCTAGGAACTCTACAAAGAGGAAGGAGGGGTTTCTAAATGTGGAGTTGTTCTATCTCGATAAGGAACACCAACCTGAGGCTACTAAGGAGTTTATGAAGAAGTACAAAGTGGTAAGTGTTCATTTGGTAGAAGTTTGACAGTGAAAGCTAGGTAGAAAGTGGACTTCAATCTAGGTAAATTAAGTTTGTAAATTGGATCTATCAGTCATAAGTTATTTTCTCAGTAGCAAATTCAACCGAGATAATGTGTTTTACAGCTAGTTGGTGATATATGTATGGCGGTGATTGTCCTTTTCAGCAAAACTTGGAGAGGAAGGTTCTTAACCTCACTATCACTAGCAGTTCTTCTAGATGCGAGAGGAACTTGAGTACATTTAATGGGTAAATTACATGACTATCTAAAATTAATAAGATAAAATTATTCATGTAGGACTTCACTAACTTGTTCTTTTCTTCTTTAAAGATTCACACAAAGAAGAGAAATTGATTGGAGTCGAAGAGGTTGGAGGATCTTGTGTTTGTGAAGTTGAATGTCAAGCTCAAGTAAAAGAAGAGAGAAGACAGAGATGTGCTAATAATGCAAGATCGTACTATGGCACATGCACAAATCCTCGAAAGAGTTCTAATGACTAGGAAGAGACTTATCTAGGTTCGAAGGTTTCTTGGACAATATTGGAGAATGTATCTGGAGCAATTGAGGTTGCAGCGAACTGGAGGAGTGAGAGAATAGCACGAGTTGTAGGATATTTGATGATTATAGGCGAAGAAGAGCCTCTTGCATCCGACGATGATGTCACAAATGAGGATGAGGGCTACGTGAACATGAACTCAAAGGATAGCAATCATGCAGTGGAGGATCTGGATTTCCATGATGATGATGACGATTAGATTATATGATTATGTCCTATGTTAGACATTTAGACTATTCATATTTTATTTTCTTGAGCAATACTGCATTAGACTCTTGAATTTGTGATATTATTTATTGTTGCTGTGACATATTATGTTAAACATGGTGATGCTTCTTAGTATTTAGTTACTATTTTGGCTATTTAGTATTTATGCATGGTTGATTATAGATTTAAGATTGCTATTCATTTATCTTTTGCAATTTTTTATGAATTTAATTCATGTTTTTGTCAATTATTATAATTAAATAATTTAAAAATAAACAAAAGCCTAGGAGCCGTCTAGGCGCTAGCTGAAATGCCTAGTCCGCCTAGCGCTTTCTATAACATTGACCCTTGCCATAATGAGTAGTACAATGCTAGCTCTTTGGACTTATTTTTCACCTTCCTTCCCCGTAATTGATTGAGATCAGTCACTTTGAGACTATCTCTTACTCAAGCAAGATACTAGAATTACACATAATTGCATTGTTTACCACACCTCACGTAAATCAGTGTGGAACACAATTGCATAGAACATTCATTCTTTCTATAAAATTGATCTAAGAATGGAGTTTTGTGCGGTAAATAAGTGACTAAAACTTGCCATAATGCTTTTAACCCTGATTTCAGGCAGTTTTCTTCTTTTTGTTCTATACTCAATGTCTCAAATAATGGATTTCTGCTTAATCCTAGAGTATTTGTTATATTTTTCAAATGTGTATAATAAACAAAAAATAAAGCTAAGACCACAGTAGAATTTGTCGGATGAAAGTGACAATGTTCTTCAATTATGTGAAGAAATATTCTCCAGCTATCTCCTCAAGCAAAAGAAGAATGAGTTAATAAGCTTGATTTGCTACTAACAAAAAAAAATTATACAATGTTTTCAGCTGGATCAACATCTTCTTCAACTATTGGTTTATGATGACATACATTTGACTGTTCACTGCTTATTCTGGGGTCTTAATGATTAAGGCATGAAAACAAGTCATGCTTAATCACTTAGGACAATAAAATTTGACCTACTGTAGTATGGGCTCTCCTAAAATACAGAATATCTTCGTTTAATTATGCATAAATGCAGCAGTACAATCCAAGAGTTCTATGGACTAATTTGATAAAAATGTTGATTATTATCACTAAATGACTAACATGAACTAGATTCAGAAAATCTTTAGGACAACATGAATTTCTAATTGGTGATGCACAATTATGGAAGTTGGGTTGTTGAATAGCTTTTAGACAAACTGCAAATTAAGAAGAAAAGATAACCTGCAAAATACTCTGTGAATTAGGTCGGCATTATAAATTCAAAGTCTAGCATGGATGGTGAATGAATTAGGTTGGCACTAGAAATTCAAAATACTCTGTGAATTAGGTTGCCATTAGAAATTCAAAGTCTAGCATGGATGATGAATGAATTGTCATCCATTCTCACCTAATACTTAAATATGAGGACTATAAAATATACAACATATTGCGTGAATGAAACAAAACCTGTGCTACAACAATCTTGATCTTAGGAAGGATACTACAGAAAGAATTGAGAAGAAAGAAATCACAGGTTCTTTGGATTTTTCTTGGCAAGTAATTTGCATTCCCAAGACTTCGACACAAAACCCTAAGCATTGGTAACAAGCAAAACCTGTTGAGAAAGATTACAGCATTGATGCCTTCACCTAAAGACACTTTCTGAATTGAGATCATAATTATGAAATGATTCAAAAAAAACTATGCTGCACATGAATCAAGATCTTTGAGAATTAAGAAACAACAAAAGTGTAACCTTTTTAAAGTCTAATTTGCTCGGAAGCTCAATTTTTAATTAATTAAAAGCTTTCCCAAAAAAGGAACACCAATTTTCAGATACCCTTTTTTCTCTCTTTTTTCCCTTTATCCCCCCACCCTTTTTTTTCCCACATCAGAAGGATAGCATTAAAGAATATTTCTTGTTTAGTCATCGGCCAGAATGGTGGTCTCATAGACATAGCATCCAATTTTCAAATACCCACATCTTGAATCCCAAACAACAATGACAACAAATCAGACACGAGGCATCCGCCCAATTACAAGAAATAAAATGCACTAGAACTGCAAAAAGGAGACAACTTTATTCCTACATTTCGAATCAAAACCCTAAGAATGATAAAAGGGAGGAGTTTGATCTCACCACCGGTGCTCCATAGGTACCAGGCTGGATAACGTACTGCTGAATCGCCTCAGCTGCGCTGCTACTCGCATAACAGCACCCCGCCGAGTATCCCCCATGCGGAGCGTAGGGGTCAGGATTGGGGATGTAACTAGGGCTAGGGTTTTGGGTAGGGTAATAGGTGGGAGGTGGCGGCTGCGGCTGCCGATGGGACGAGGATGGAGTGGCGGCGGGCTTGTGGGCGCGGAGCAGGAGGCGCGAGGGGTTGTGGCGGCGGCGGCTCTGCTGGCTCCAGCGGCACAGATTGTAGGTGGTGGGAATAAAGTGGAGATGGGAGCAGGTAAAGTTTTGACCGGACTTGAGACTGGACTTGAGTAGGGAAGCTAGATTGCAGCGAAAAGTGGGTGCGGGTCCCACATGTCAAGAGCTTGTCAGGGCGCGTTTGGTTCTTGGGAAACGCCTCTGGTTTCGTGCTGAGCCTGCCAAAACCTCAGTTTTTACGGGCTTTTTTGTAAAAGCGCCTTAGGCATTTTTTTAAAAAAAGCCCATCAAAACTGACGTTTTGGCAGGCTTTCAGC